TCAATCATTTGATATTTATGAGGTAACCTTTCATTGGGAAAAATAATGTCCTCTATAACGTATAGGAATGTTTTCTTTATCTTATTTCCTAATCACAAACTATGGTCATGAAAGAAATCAGTTTTTCTTGCCTAGTTACTAGTGAAACATTATACTCTGGATGCATAATGCATAACACCTTTATGAATAAACAAAGTATGTAAAGTGTAACAGCTGCCAGAAATGAAGTCAACAATGAAAAGGTTGTAACATAAGTAAAATTACTTTTGTCTCTCTAGCATGATAAGATTCTCTAACATGGATTTCTTGTTCTTGCATCAGTATCCAACATCTGTCACTTAACCATCTTATTATATTGCTTTTGCAAATCAATAATGTCAGAACTACTTTCATGTTGGCTGACTCAAACAGGAAAAAAATTGATCAGTATTCATTATCAATAATAAAATTACGTATTTTAACCCAAAGCAAAATTTGTGTAAACATAGTATTTAGTAGTTCCTCTTATGACAAATTGATTCAAAATTAAAAAGCACAATCCAAAATAATTTCTAATTTAATATGTAAGTATCAGAGTTATAGTAGAGTTATAATAGAAACTCTTCAGAAGAAACTCTTCTGAAGAGAAACTCTTCAGAAGATTTAAAGCAGGAGGCCAAATCCCATTTAGCCAGTGCAACTAATGGTGAGCGATCTTGAAAGCTTTGGGGAATCATACATTCTACACACAGCTTTAAATCAAACACAACACTGCACTAACTAAAATATCATCTGATTTTTAAAAAAAATAATTTTAAAAATATTATTTTTAAAAAAATCACTTTTTCTTTTATAATTCAGACAATATTAACAATATAAGAGTAATACATTACATTATTCCTAAAGGAAAAAATTTGTCTGGTATTCATCTCTTTTGGTACTCATTGCACCTCCTGAAAGGAATTAACAATGAGTATCAATGTAGCACTGTGGTGTTTGTTTGTTTATTTATTTGTTTTTACAATCAGGCCATGGGTGTATTAACCAAGGAGACCCAGGCAGCAAAGAGAAGCTTACTCTGAAAAGCTGAGGAATCAGTTCTCAGCAAATGAACCAGTAAATGTGTGGAAAAATACCATTGGCCACATCCTGGACATAAACTGTTTTAACTCTTCTCCTTAGGACACCACAGAAGGCATGGCATGCAAAAAAAAACTAGACACAAAGATAGTTTTTTCCATCATGCCATCACTTTGCTGAACACCTAATTCCCACAAACACGTCTTATGTCTAAGTATATTTGTCCATGTGGTAAGACTGTATTATCATTATTATCCTTCTCATCTTTTCTACTATCTTCTCTTTTTGGTATAATTATTATGATTATTATTACTCTGTTGTTTTGCATGTACATTGAGTGTTTCTGCAATGGAGACACTTTTTGTGTGTGTCTCTAATCACACTTGGCCAAATAAAGTATTCTATTCTAGAATCATCTCTAACTTAAGATGAAGCTGCTGCAGTATATGCTCTTCCAAGAGTTTCAAATGCTTTTCAAACTGCAAACCATAAAAGTGATAACAAACTAAATAAAGCAACTTCTGGTATTCACAGACAGGTGAATGGTGTGTGCTGGAATTCACAGACAGCTAAGCCTCTGTGAATAAATTGTACTTAAGACAATTTTGTCCAAACAGCATCCCGAGTGTGTATGTAGGCTAGAAAAAATATCTAACCATGTCCCATCTCCCTCCCCCTTTGCCCTACATTCTGTTCTTGGCATTGTTCCCCTGTAAAGCATGATGCCAACGTTAGACTCATATTGCACCCAAATGTAAATACAAGGAAACCATTAAGTCATTTTAAGCTAATCATTAAAAAATAACCAAAACTGTGTAGTAATGGGAATGTGTTTGCCTTCTCGTTCTTCAAGCTTTTAGAAAGTAGGAGCTACAAACATTTGTGGCTTGTTATATCAACCTCACTCAAAAGTTCTTGTTTTTGGTGATGATATACCACTGGATTTGCCAAGCACAAAAGGCTCAGGAACCAAGCATGCTTATGAACTGAAGCTGCAAATGTCGCAAGTTTTATTACACTTGTGACTGATACCAATGTCCAATTATTGCTGACATTTGGGGTTTGGGGCTGAAATCTTGCAAAGGTCAGTATGAACAGTGAAGTAATACTCCCTGGGAAATTTCTGAAGAACAGAGCTTAAAGGCTCTCTCCAAGCATATAGCAGATTATACTACTGAGCTCTGTATCGCTTAGATAAACCCATGTTATTCAATCTAATTTGTAATAAAGGAGTCCATTTCTATGTTATTTGAACCAGAATTCTAAAGCATGTTGAGATCTTAAATATATTACTGCAAATAAAAATTGCATTTTTATGAATAATTCTTACAATTAAATCATAATGCTTTTTATACTTCAAAATAGATACGTGTGCTATCTACATTAAATGGAAGAGACATATTTAAGTACACCCAGGGGCTTGAGCACATCAGGTGCCTGTGAAAGGCCATCCTATTTCTCATAAGCCATATCAATAATTTCTTCTGAAACTTCCTTCTATTAAAACTGATATTGAGGGTAAAGCTGCTGTTTAAGAGGAAAAGGGCCAGAGATCCCTTAGGTGTGCAGAATTAGTTACATGGTTTTGTGTGGGGGTTTTATTTTTTGTTTTGGATCTGGGCCAGATGTAAAGCACTAAAACAGATACTGCAGCAAACACCTGATTAAATTCAGTAAAGCCCTATGCCCCAGGGTGCTGCTAGAAATATGTAGTTTCACAATCTTGGACTGCATTGCAGTGTGTAGGTGTAGATTAGTAACTGTGCTTTGGTATTGCACTTCTGTGCAATTCTTATACATCGATGCAATCACATTCCAACCTAAATTACTTCTTAATTTCCCTTAAGGAATCCCACTGCTTGTTTTAACATTAAGGAGCTGGGTGTGCAATGCACTTTACGAAGCATAAATTCTCTGGAGGTAGTAAATGCTTCATAACCAAATTAAGCTTGAAAGTGTCTACAAGTGGTTTGCTGCTAGTTGTCAGAAAATGAAGCAAGATATAAGATAACCCAAAGGTAGTCTGTTTGCAAAATTAATAATTATAAAGTGCACAAGTGAAAGCAAGGGACCTGTAGCAAAGGCAGTAGACTCCGATACTATTGGGGATATTAATTAATAGAAAGACATGTATAGCATAAACATCATTAGTTATGGCTTACAATTGGGAAAATAGGTTTATTTAAGGGATAAAAGAAATCAATAGTTTAGTTTCTACTTCACATAATCAGCTCCATAATCAGCTCCATGCTTCTCATCAGGAGACTTATAAAACATTCAATGTATATCTACACAGATATAAATCTGCTTTAAATACCACGTGATTTACTCGGAGAAAGTCATGGAATTGGAGCTTAAATACCAACTTGAATTGAGAGCCAGTTTGGGATAGTAGCTAAAGTATCAGGCTAGAAATCAGGAGACAGTGATTTCTAATCCTACTTACAAAGGCACAAAGCCAGCTGGGTAACCTTGGGCTAATCACTTTCTCTCAGCCCTTAGAAGGAAGCAATGGCAAATTACTTCCTGAAAAACCTTGTCAACAAAAAATGCAAGGGCTGTCCAGGTTGTCTCTGAGAAATGTAAAATGAACAGAAGGAAAAAAGAAAATCTTGAATAAGCAAATAAATTGCTAATATTTGCATACATAAAGATTCTTAATTCTAGAAGGGGAACAACAAGAACACATAGTACCCTTTTCCTCCAATTTTGTCCTGCTTCATGTAATTTGCACATTCCTTGACTGATGTGTCTTCATAAGCCACAAAAGGAACTTTTATAGAATAGTCAAATATGTATATAGCTTCCTAAAGCCATCTGTCAAAAACAAAGCTTTTCAGTAAGCCCCTTTCCTTATACAGTGTGCTAAATTTAATGCAAATTATATTATCCAAAGATTGCAAATATCTACTACGTAACATGCATTTATGTAATTTATACTGTATCTCTTAGTTTCTGATTGATAACACCAGTGCCTTCCTAGACTACAGTTTACATTCCTATTATATACCGAAGTACTTCTATATTTAGAATAGAAGTACTTCGGTTTTCTATTTAAGATCTCATTTCTATACAACCTCAAGTGGGAAACCTCATTTCCATGAGATTTTATATCCTTATGAACCCCCCTCTTGCCATTTTGTTTTCACCACAATGAATTTCATCTCTGTATGTCATAAAGAATATTTTTATGAGATTTACATCTGGCTGTCAAGAACTAGAAATCTTGGCCATAACTGGATGGAATAAAAAAATTAGTAAAAACCTTGGCGTAATCAGATTTCTGTAGATGGATGTAGAAAAATTCAAGTACAGCTCCACTGCTTTTATTTATTATTCATCAGCAGATCCTTTTTAAAAGCAAACAAAGCAGGTTACCCTGTCACTCCTTTAAAAGCATAATCTCATGTATCAAGGAATAGGTGACAATTTATAGAATGAATGAAGAATATGTGATTAAGAACTATACACTAAATTTAAAAAGACAAAATAAGGCAGTTAGTCTGTCAGTCAATATGAGAGTCAATTTTCTAACTGAAAAATTACATTTCAGAAATTAATGTCAATAATTTTATGTGATGGTTTTTATAATTTCTGTCTAGTGTCAATACCCTTGTATGAAAATTTTATTTTAAAATATTGTTACTACTGTTACTCCAGATATTACAAATATCTGAATTCAAAAATTATAAAGAACTCTGAGGCAGTGGTACATGACTTGTCCAAGAGGTAGGATTTACATACAGTTCCTCATATCTAAGAAAACTGTTTCCAACCTCATATAGTCTAAATTTTGGCATTCCATTTCCCAGAATTCCCAGCTAGTCAATATATGCCTGGAGACCACCAGATTGGTGAAATCTGTTTAAATTCTACTTGCTACCACACAAAAAATAATCACCAACTTTTATAGCCCTTTCAATCAACCGGAACAAAAATACCTGGAAGCTCTTCATAAATGTCATCAAAAATAGGTGCTCCACCTGATTGAGAAGGAGCTATGGAATTTTCTTCAATGTCATCATATTCCTCTTCTGGAATAGTTAGAGATCCCATATCTGTTAAACACAGAAAAGATATTCAGTCAACCTAGCCACAAGGAACTGTCTAGAGCAACAGACATGCTCACATCCTTCCATTTTCATTTCAAAGTAATATAATACATCCCTTCTAATTGTACTTATTAAACAATTCACATTCATACACTACAGCACTTTAATTAGGAATGAACACTTTGTTTAAGCTTCTTTGGAAGGGGAGTCAACTAGGTACAATGACACTCCTACATATACAGGGGATTCCTTAATCTTTCATAAATACACACAGATTAAAAATAAAATGCACTATTAAAGACAGCATAGTAATCACATGATCAACAAAGAGAAAACAGGGAAGCTTCAATTTCCAGCATGCATTAAAGGCAAAGTGTCTTGTTAGTAACTGGCATACCTTGTAACACAAATTTCAGCCTCTCTACCCAATCTGCAGCTTCTTTGGGAGTAGCAGCTGTAAACTGTTCAGAAACTTCATTTTAGAGAAGAATAATCATGAACATAAAAATATACCTAGCACTATATTAATAAAGCCAAGAAAGTAGCATTCTGGTCACTTCTTCAAGACACCATTAGTAATTCTTTACATGTCTTCTGGTACTTTTCTTGCAAGGATGCTTCTTATAATGTACAGTTAATTTTGACAAATTTATGTAATTGAAGCAGAGGATGATGGATTTAGAACTCTGATCAGCAGCTGGCAGCTGTGCATAAAAAAAGCTGCTTCTCTTCATCAATGTCAAAACCAGGACTGATGAACAAAATTTGCCCTTGACAATTAGAAGACACCCATGAATTTCTTTAGACTGCTCGGTACAGTTTTCTTAAAAATGTTCTTGTCACATTCCAACACAGTATCTGACAACTTAATTAACTGGCTTTCAACTGCAATCTCAGATATTTAAAACTTATTAAACTTACATTTCACATTGATGCCTAGCTGATAGATCTTACATTGCATACTTTTAACTTTGATTTCCCTCTTAGGCCTCTAAGCAATGCAATACATATTTAACATTGAAAAATTTATATTCAATTATTTTACAAAATTATTCATCCAAGAAATCAGACAAACCTATTAGATAATAGATATTTAAATGTAAGCAGTAAAATGAGCCAGCAGATAAGTATGACATATGAGCTGTTCTTATCAAAAAATTTAATATTAGGACAATCTTTTTGCAAAATCTATTATATGAATGTACAAGATAAGAAAATAAAGGATTCCACTCTACCCCCACTCCAGCTCTTTTTCCAACATGTCAGAAAATGTTTTACCAAAATGTTAATGTCTCCATAACTGAAACAGTAACAGTTTTATCAATTTAACTTCAAGACAACATAAAAACTCCAACCTGATAAATGCGTTTATCAGGAGCAGCGATTTCAAAACAGCAATCTTTCTTTCCGTCCTTCCGAAGGGTATTATTCATTCTGACGGTGTAGCCATCTATAGCGAATCCACCTTTCTGTTGTTTGTCTGTTGTAGATGAAAAGTAAAGATAGAATTTCATTTGCAACATTGAAAATGAATGTCCCATCAGGTTATCATTTATTCAGATTTTGTTTTTCTGTTCCATGAATATTCAATAGGCTGAGTTAAACATTATTGTGAGTGGATTTAGTGATGATTGAAAGATAAAACTCTTTTTTAAGGGGAAACTACAAAGAACATTTTTGAAAAGGCTGCTTATAGAATCCCACAGGATGATCCTTACAGATGGTCTTATTTAGCGTGAAATGCACACACTGATGCCTCACCGGGGGGGGGGGGGGAATCAAGAACTGGAACCTGGAACTTGCAATACAAGTGTTCCATAAATCAGTGTCTCTTCTTGGTTCAGTAATCAATGGATCAACAAAAGATGATCTCTCCGTTATACCTGGCCCAGTATCGGAATTCAAAAAGTGAACTTCAGATGCAATTAGAGCCAAGGTGGCGCAGTGGTTAAATGCAGCACTGCAGGCTACTGCTAGATCAGCAGGTCAGCGGTTCAAATCTCACCGGCTCAGGGTTGACTCAGCCTTCCATCCTTCCGAGGTGGGTAAAATGAGGACCCAGATTGTTGGGGGCAATATGCTGACTCTCTGTAAACCGCTTAGAGAGGCCTGAAAGGCCTATGAAGCGGTATATAAGTCTACTGCTATAATTAACAATATTTGTAAAGGTGTTTTTCACCTAGTGACTAAAGCAATGGACTATGGAAAAGCTATAGGTTTAGTATGTTTTTTGTTCAATATATATTGGCAAAAGGAATTTTAAAAACTCCCTTTTTAAACAGGAATTTTAAAATTGTGAAGATCAAAAACACTAATGCAAACTAAAAAAAATGAAAAGAAAAAATAAAAGCAGCAGAAAAGGAAAAAAAGAAATTAAAAATACGACCATAGTAAAGTAAAAAGAAATGTATAAAGAAATGACATAGCCCTTTATCAACAAGCATTAACAAGTTTATAATTTATCATCTCATAGCATACAGTCAACTGATCTTGCCTTTTATATTGCTTATGTATAAGACTTCTTGTTTCAATCCTAATTAACAAAGGTCCATAAGCAATGTATCTATTTTAACATTGATCAAACAAATCAACTTTATGTTCCTTCCTTTTATTTTAGTCCCTTCAAATAATGTCCTTGAATTTGATTCCTTTTCATTTTTTTATTCCTCATAATTTTTTTCAAAGCTGTAATAAGTCTCTTTTATAAATTCAATACAGGAAAATTATCCAGTTAATTATCGTGGCCTGTTATTTCTATAACTCTTTTAATTATTAAGACATCAGCTGATTTCTTTTGTCTCTCCAGTGCAGTTTCTTTTTCCATATCATTCTTGTAGGCTGTCATTTTTAAGTTCATTTTCAAATCAATCTCAATCTTGTAAAGAAAAACGTGTTCCTCTTCCATAATATGTTTTAAACAATCTACCAATAGAAGTAGATACTATTATTTTCCAAGTCCATTGTTAAAAAATATCCTTCAATATATCCAATATTAAAATATTTTTCTTCTCGCAGTATTAGTAAGTCAAATTTAGGTGTTTTCTCCTTTAATTGTAATATTTAGTTCCTCATGGTTAACTTTAGTGTACAAACTTCAATATCTCATACTATCATTTGTTAAAAAAGAATTCAAAACCAAAGCATCTTCCCATGGAAAAGATTCTTATTACAATCTTGTAATCTTTATTATAAGTAAACTATTATTAAATTCTTATTTCAAATATATCTAAAACTTTTTCCTTCCTTTTTTTACTTTCTGCATTTTTTTCTTTTTCTTTGATGTATTTTCTTTTGATTTAAAAAATATTTATATTTAAGTTTGATATACTCTTTTTTTAATAAATTTTTTTAATTTAAAACAAACATAACATCCTTCTTTACATGCTATAGAAAGTGTACCAGTTGGTTACAAAAAGACTTTTGTGCAACTCTTCCACAGTCAACAAACATAATTAATATTAACTTAAGTATTTTAACTCAAATATTCACACATGTCACCATCATCATATCTCCATTTTCATTTCACTATAATTTTTTAAGAGTCCTTCATCATAAAATATACAAAATTTAATATATAACCACATACTGGCCTTTCAATTACTATTTCTAAAATCCTCCACTAAATCCTTATGTCCTATTCTAGCTAAACATCCATAATATTTAATAACAAAGTTTTCTAATCCTCCTTTCTAAATCACTGTTTAAAATTTACATCCAGTTTCCTTATGTTATACCCATATATACATATATATATACATATGCATGCATGCATACATACATACATACATACATACACACACACACACACACACACACACACACATATATATATATATATATGTTGTTATTC